CACCCCCCCCCCCCCTTCTCACGCTCTTCATATCACCTGACGCCTCACTGCCTGGCTGTTCAGCATGAGCGGTGACCTGGAAGTGGCCATTCAGCTGGGCTCTGATGAGGTGAGAATCGGCTCGGCAATATTCGGAGAACGCGTCCGGAAGGGACCCCCGTCTGGCTGACCTGATTAAGGCTTCTCTGCATGGATGTGTGCCGTGCATGTGTTTACTGATAACTGTAATGCATTCATGTGACTCTTGGTTCCCGCGGCGGAGGTCGGCGAACCCAGCAATCCATGCGGCCATGGGAAAAATCACCGTGGGGGGCCGATCGAAGCTCGCATGAGGAACAATTTCCCCCGCCAGTATGAGCAGTGAGGTGGAGGAGACCCTTGCCCGCATCAAACAGCACCGCGGCGTTAGTGGCATCGTCATCGTGAACAGCGAGGGCGTGCCGATCCGCTCCACACTCGACAGCAAGATGACCCTACAGTATTCGGCGCTGGTACCGACCTACATGCACGACAGACACCACACCACTGCCTACCGACACGCCTCTCCTTGCTTTCGTCGGTCCAGATATCCCAGCTCGCCACCAAGGCCCGAAGCGTCGTTCGTGACCTGGACCCACAGGTCAGTCAGGCTGCATCGCATCCAGGGAGGGAGGGAGGACAGAGGGCAGGCAGGCAGACAGACAACAGGAGGGTCGGGGCTTGCTCCAATTTGTATATCCAATAATCATGCCTTCCTTGGGTGTCCACTGGCTGGTTTCATCCACACAGAATGACCTGACGTTTCTGCGTGTGAGAAGCCGCAAGCACGAGATAATGGTTGCCCCTGACCGCGACTACATCCTGATCGTCATCCAGGACCCCAATGTGGACCAGGTAGGCAAGGCAACGTATTAGCGTGTCGGGCGGCAATGTCATGGTCTCGTCCGTCTCACCAGGCACAGGCGTGAAGTGAACAGATCCGCACATCTGCCTAGCCTAGGTCTGTCTTTTGTCCAAGTCAATCAATAAGTGAATGAATGCATCCGTGTCTGTCTGTCTGTTCATCGTCCTACAGGTTGGTATGCGTCCAATCAATCAATGTTCGGTGGCCTGGCCAAGCGTGGGTGTAGTGTAGTGCGGATGATAGATCTATACGTATGCGGACTGACTGAAATGCATGCTATGCTGTCTTGGCGGCTGACTTACGAAGCTATCTATCTATCGTGAATTGAACTCATCCTTGGAAGTAAAGTGTGCGCATCGCATCGCATCCAGAGCGTCATCGCCCACATGACGCATGACAGCTCAAGCCACAGCATGCACCGATAGCCACAATGTTGCGTCAGCCACACGACACACACAGACACCAGGACCTGCAGCAGACAAGCACCCATTACCGCCCAGACAGACACCACAAATACAAAGTGGGGACATGTCACACATACATACCCATCGATAACGAGTGGGTTTGTGATTCTGGTTCACGACGGACCTACCTGTAGCGCGAGGAGCCCAGTGAGAGGCCAGTAGGTAGAGTTCTCAGCCCTGCAGCTCTCTTCCGATGGCAGATCCCGCCCTTCCACACACGCCGACTTCAGCTGGTGAACCGAATCGTTTGGACGCTTGTCGCTCGCCGCAACACGATGCCGTACCGCACCGCCCTCACTCGTTGCGCCGCCGCGAATAGCCTCACCACTGCAAGGAACACCACCATGAGCGCCATTTCCACCCTCTGTCTTGCGTCGCTGAGTGCCGCTGCGTCGGGTCCGTCCCATCCCCAGCAGCACAAGGGCGACCGCACACGGCACCAGGGCTGTGAGGTGAGCGGCCCACCTGCTGTCATTCTCGGCCGTGCTCGTCACCTCGAGGCCTGCCAGCCGCTCAAGAGCGGATGGCAGATTCCAAGTCAAGGCGAGCTGCTTGTCGCCTCCCCCACGTGGGGCGTATCGGAGAACAAAGGGCGACTCGAATAGCAGGGTAGGCTCGTGCTGGGACTCTCGCATCAAGGTGCGGAACTGCTGCGGCGGGAGATCCATCTGATTAACCATTGAAACACACATTACACACACACACACACACTCGCACATCGGTTGGGTCCCGCACAAACGGCATGGGTTCGCCTGTACATCTGCCGTTCTGTCTGCCTGTCTGTCTGTCTGTCTGTGTTTCCGCCCATGCCAATTGTGTGTGTTTCCTGACTGACCGGTGTGTCTTCTGGTCGCAGGTGACAGCAGGCCATAAGCCACCAGGTGTAGGACAGGGCTGGGATGCGCATCACGACCATAAACAAGACGCCAGCCAGCAGCCCAAGTCGCCACTCCACGGCCGGGGACCTGCCGCTCCTGGACTCCGTTGCATGCATGGCCGCCAGCGTCGCGACAAAGGCACCCAGCAGAGCCATGGAGGGCGATAACAAGAGAAGAAACAAAAGCAATACCGGCCCCACGAGCTTCCCCATCACCCAGCTCAAGGCGCGGCAGCAGCGCCCCGGCATCGGGCAGCACCAGGGAGACGTGACGATCCAAAGTATCAGCTCCGACACAGCGATGAGAGAGTTTGCGAGCAGCACCCCGAGGGCGTGAAGCAAGGCCAGGAGGGCAATGGGGGGGCTTGGCGGCCGGAAGAGGTTGCTGCTGAGGGGCTTGTCGAGAGTTGATTCCATCACGGGCAGTAGGTGCGTGAGCTGGGTGCTTGCCATCCCCCATACTATGGTCCCCGCCCACTTCCCTGCCCACTGAAGCAATGGCTTTCTTGCCCGCGGCGCATCCGGAGGCTTCACGCAGAACGCCCTGTACGCCGCCTGCAGAAATCCATCCGTCCATCCATTCAACCATCCACCACATCCCATGTGAGGGAGGCGGTGATCGATTAATCGACGACAGACAGAGGCATGCGTGCGTACCGATGCCGTGTGTAGGAGCAGATAGCCGACAGCAGCAGCTGCAATGTAGGGGAAGTAGAGCCGCCCCACCTCGGTCCAAAAAGTGCTCCAGTTGGCAGAAATCTTAAGATTGACAGCCACACGAGGGTCCCTGACGATGCCGACCGTGTAGCCCGCAGACGTGCCGTTTGCTGGCAGGAATCTCGGTGTGAACACATCTGGGTCACTCTCCGCATCCATCATCCCCCTTGCCCTCCCTTGCTGCAGGATGCCGTGACGATCCGCCGACATCGATGGTAAATGTACCCCACCATGAGGCTCCAGCGGCACGTTCGTCAAAGGCAGGTGTCTCGGTCGAAAAATGGCCAGAGTGGATGGTCCCCATGCCATGAGTGTCGGCACCAGCCCCGCCGCGACGGCAGCCAGGGCATCAGTCACATTGGTCCCATTGGCACGACGCTGGATGGTTGAGGCCACGTCCACATTCAGGCTGATGTCGCACGGCAGCAGATGCCCCATGCCCTCTGGGATCGGGAGAGGCACACCCACGGCGGCTCTGCCAGGCGGCACGTTGATCTTCAGCGGGGAGATGGCAGACCACAGCCACCGCCACACGCTGCCGCCGTGGGAGCCCTTGTTGCCCGTGTGACTGCTCTTGGTATGGGTGTTGCAGCTCTCCTCCATCCAGGCTTGCGAAGACGGCGGCCGGCTGGTATGCTTGTGTCGGGTTACACGAAGGTTGGCAGGGCCCTCGACCGCCCACCAGCACATCTTGGAGGGATAAAAGCGGCTCAGGGGACGCACTACCGACCAAGACACTGGAGAGCAAGTCGGACACAAGAAAGACACCACACCAGGGAGGAGGGAGGGAGACAGGCACTTTACTCCAGCAGCCGGCCGGGTGCGCTGTAGCGGCCCGAATATGCATACATCCATACCTTGATTGCTGGGTTGCGAAGCCACATGGAAGTATCTGTCGCACCGCATTCGATCACGTGGCCGAAATGACCCGGTGCCGCCCTCAGCGAGAGAAGCGTTGACATCAGCTGACAGAGACACACACATGGTACCAACCATACGCCAATGGAGGCATACACACGCTGCGGTTGCTCCACCCTTGCCCGGCTGGGTAGATGGCTGACCTGGTGGTTCCTTCACGACGAGCGAGAAGGCTGTCCCGTTGCTAACATGGTGCTCAAATGTGACAGGCACGCCGCCATCCATCGCCCACACGGCCAGCCCAGGTGACAGCAAAGGCAGAGAGCCTCCGGTCGTTTGGTCCTTGTGTGGAGAGGGCTCCTCACCCCACCCGCCGGATCCGCACCACCTCCCATATCTCAGTGCTTTAATGTGCGGAAGGTGGGTGTGCTGGATGTCCATGCAGTCGGCGAGGCGGTCCGCCTCGCCTCGAGCCACCAGGTGCAGAATGTTGGAGTAGTGGCGGAGAAGAGGCGTGACGAAGATGATGTTGACGTGTGTTAACAGCACGTGGCTGTCGGACAAGTCAGATGTCATCACCTGCACCCACCCACCCACCCACCCATCAATCCATCCATCCATCCACCAGACGGACACCAGGTCACACCACACCGGCCCCTGAGGGACTCGCTGGCCAGCTGGCAAGCAGCATTAGACGCCCGACGGGTGTGGTGTGTGGGAGTTGACTGCTTACGTACGTGGTGGATGGGGTTGAACAATCCGTTCGTCCTCCTCCATACGTGTGGGACGACGGTGCTCTCGGGCGGCACCGACCGATCCTTGATGCCCGAGGCCAGCACCACTAGAGGCAGCTGTCGCGGTGGTTGCCCGCTATCCCTGTCTGGTCTTGCACCCCCCCCAGCATAGAGCGAGTTGAAGAGGGTGACCAAGGCCGGGTCGAAGAGCAGCGGATGGCCCGACAGCGGCGGATTGAGGAGCACTACACCACTCAAAGACTCGACGAGCTCCGGCTGGTCCTGTAGCGCCTGACAAAACACACCAACCAGCACAGCACAGCACCCAGATCAGATAGATGGGCGGCCGGCCTCTGCCCGCGGATACTTACGTACGGCACACATACGTACGTACGTACCTGTATACCTTAAGGACGCTTAGGGATCCCATTGAGTGTGCGAGCACCGTCACCCTCACCCCTGGCCTCCCGCGAGCGGCATACAACCCGCGAATGACGCGCAAGGCATCAGCCACGAAGGCGGCCTACATACGGCAAGACACATCGAGAGCGTCAATGTGTATGACGTCCTCCTACACAGCTGTCTGTGTGTCTACCATAGACAGGCCTGCCAAGGGTGTGTTGTTTGGCCCCCACCACGGTTGGTTCCTCCCTCTACTGACTCTCCCACCCACCCACCGACCTGGTTATGGACGATAGAGGGGTGGAGTGAGGAGGGCTCATTGTGGAAGTCGACTGTGAAGAACTTGAGGTAGGCCGCCTGGTTGGCATCTCGACAGCAGGAGCACGGCCCGGCATTGGTGAGCTGAGCCACCGGCAGCGGCTGCTTCCAGCTGCCCTGCGCGCCATGCACAAACAGCACCGGGCTGTGGGAGGCCTCCAGGGACGTCGGCTGCCCCGCAGAGATGCGCCGCGACTCATTGATCTCTACCAACCCGTAATGCGTCCCTGAGTCAACCACCAACCAACCAACAACATGGGGCGGCGGACGCAACGAATAAATAGATGCTCCTCTCCATGCCACCCGTGCATTCATCAGCCACCTGGTGTCGGCTTGTTGTCGACGTAGCCATATCCTTTGAGCAGATTGTACGTCGTCTGATCATGGATAGTGGCGCACAGATCCATCCACTGCGTTGTGTGACTGACGCCTTGTTGACCTGGTCGTATTGCCCTCCCAGCAGATAAAACGCAAAGACGGCGGCTGCCACAACACACCACCATCTGGACACCATCGTCCACATCGGCCTGCATGTTAAGCTCGCATTCGAAAGAAGTGGGAAGGATCGAATCCATGGCCCACACGCACAAAGCGCGGGCTTGAATACACTGTGTGTGAGCATTCATTCATCAGTTGTTCGATTGGTCACTGATCACTCCACAGGTGGTCGCCTTGAGTCAACAGGGCGAAATCGACAGATACAAATATCCCGCCGCAGTTGCGATGTGGCAATTCTCCATACCTTTTGATGAGACGTACTCATGTAAAGGACGACGTATAGCCAGACGACCACAGCACACGAGGGTAATTTTAATTGTGAGGGCAGAGCACATGTCATGAGTTGCACATTCATGTTCATGCGCTGTAAGCACATCAACAAACCAGCAAGCTAGTCAAAAAAGCCAAACTACATACATACCTGCTGTCTTAAAGACCCACAAGCAATATACCTACAGACATGTCTACCTATCCATGGGCAGGTAGGTGGATCGGACGAATGCGCCAGCAAACAGCAAATACATGTCCTGAGTGTGGATGAATCAGATCAGACCGGGAAGCTGAAACCAGATGGCTGGGTGAGCCTATTGGGTCGTTCCCTAAAGGCAAAGACCTCCAGCTCACAGAGAGACAGTATCCTATCGGTGGGTCCCTGGGGCAAGACCGCCCAGATGTGTCTTCCCTCAGGGGCATTGAGGCACTCGCTGTGTGAACCGGCCTGGAGGGAAGTCAGGGTTGTCGAACTCTAAGGCACACCGGCTGTTGCCCTCATCGTCGTACGCAGCCAAGCTGTCACCCACCCAAAACTCCACGTTGTCCAACCTGACATACATACATCGATGACACGGACGCCTACCGCCCCACTGCCTGTCCCGCATCCCCCTCGCTCCCTCCCTCCCTTGTGTCTGTCCTTCCTGCCTGCCTCCCACCAGTCTGAGTTGTTATTTCTGTTGAGTACCCGCACCGCACCGACAATGTACGAGGCGTTGAACGTCACCCGGAGCCACGGTTCAGCGGCAGGGGCGCTCTCCGTACAATTAGCAGGGTCGGCCGACGTGTTGCCGTCCACACATAATTCCGCCCGTCCCTTGCCGTCAGGTCTGGGCGGCTCGATCTGCGATGGACGGTCGCGTGCGATGTTGCGGGGCATGAGGGAGGCGATGGCTTCCCTCTGCAGCAGTGTTGGTGGCTGCCGTCGGACGGCATCTTCGTACTCTTCTTCGAAGAAGGCCCACACCTCCACCTCACATAGAGACAACACCTTGGAGGGCGAACCGGGCAAAACCACCTGCACAACACACACATACACACATACACACATACATGCATACATGCTAACGAAATCCAATGGACACGCAGTGAATATGCACCCACCCACAATACATGCCATGCCGACTGGCGCATACATGGACTCACTCACTCACTCACTCAGATGGCCGGCCAGTCAGAGTGTGAGTGAGTGATAGAGAATCTCTCCGCCTCTCTGCCCAGGTTGCCAACTGGGACTGGCTGACTGACTGACAGACTCACTGACCCAGAGGTATTTGCCTGCGGGGTATCTGGCTTTGTATGTGGGTGACATCGGTGGGGCCCAGCCGTACTGTACGAGGTCCTGACACTCCACCAGGGTGGTCCCTCGCTCCTTCCAGGTCTTCTGGTACCCACCCTTGGGAATGCACGGCATGCTCCCTGACGCACGGAACGAGCAGTCGTCGCTCCCAACCCACACCTGAGCACCCTGCAAACTGGAAGGGAGCAACCAACACCACACACACACCGGCCAGCAAAACAACAGATAGACAGACCGACAGACAGGCGGGCAGGGAGACGTTGGCGGGCTGCATTCACTTGACGCCACGCAGGCACCTCCCTCCCTGCCTTTCTTGTGCGTAGGTACCTTTTCCTCGCAGTGATGGAGACCCCCCATATGGGCGTTTTGGCGTCGTCCTCGAGGTCCACACGCCACCATGGATCCCAGCCCTCATCCTGCACACAGACAGACACAAACACAAATACAAACACACGTCAGTCAGTCCCTCGCATACATGCATACATGCATACTACCTGCATATCCACACACGCGAGCACCTGACTGACTGAGCTCACCGCCTTTGTATGTGTGCACGCCCCCGTGATTTCGCTGACGTCGGTGTTGCCGTCCACCGCCAAATATGCCCCATCACCGTACTCTGTCGAGCTCTGCACAGTGGGCCTGCGGCAGGCAGGCAGGCCAGCCCACAACACACAAAAAGCGAGACAGACAGACACAAACAGGCACACAAGGAAGGAAGGAAGGAAGGAACAGACAGCCAGACGGGGAGAGGGTATATATGACACTTGTGCGTCTACGTGCTCCCTCCCTCCCTCCCCGACTGACTTGTTGGCGGCCATGTTGCGCCTGGTAAGGACTTTTTCCTCCGGGGCAATGGTTTGGAGTGGGACGTTAGGTGTGAAGGGGAAGACAATGTCGCCCTTTGGTGGCGGCAGGGTGGGCTGTGCGGGGCAGATGCACGAGTACAGGATCAGCTTGTACTTGTCCACCCCCTCACACGGCAGCATGTTCTCGTCATTCGGATTTTCAATCTGGCAAATCGTCTGGTTGTTGCACATCGACCTGACCGTCGGCAGTGATATGTAGCCAGACAGACACCACACACGCCCATTGCCACGAGTGACACCCACCCACAAGGACGGCTTACGCGACTTCTTGTGTGATGTCTGTGAAGGCACATGCGTCTTCGTCGAAGGAGGGTGTGGGTCTGCACTGGTTGGCCTCCCGCCGACCGTACCCGGCGAAGTAAATGTCGAGTGACTTGCCCAGCTCACAAGACACAAAGTCGTTGCTCTGGTCGCACACCACTCGGGCGGCCATCGAGGGAGGTAATGCCGCCACCGAACAGTCGCCCGGCACACGCAGAGGCGGGAGGGGCCGGCTGCTCGGCGGAACCTTCTCTGAAACACACACAAACGTACAATGAGGCAATGAAACAACCGATACATGTACACAGACACAGATGGCTGGGTGGATCGATACATGTACGTGTGTCACCCATCCGCCGGCATGCATGGAATGGGTGTATAGGTGATTGAGGTATACATACGCACCCACCCGGCACCCCACAGTGGCAGAGGTATTGTATCTGCAGGTACTTGGGCCCTGCGCAGGGGCTGCCAAAGTAGTCCTCGTGCGCAAACACCTCACAACGCCGCTGAGTGTCACACGCGTCCCTTTGCGCACACACACATACACACACAGAGAGAGACACAGAGACAGACAGACAGACAGACAGAGAGACAGGCAGACAGGCAGACACATCGTGGTGGTGGTGCCGGTGTGTGCCAGGGCTTGCAGTGTGTCGCAGGGGTGGCTTGTGTGTCGGGTCGATGCACCCCCCGTCTACCTTGCTTACTGCAGTTGTTTGGTGACGTCTACGGTGCAGTTGGGTGTGACAGCGGTTGGGACGCAGACGGCGTTGTCCCTCCTGCCGAACCAAGCGTCAAGGATGCATATGCCCTTGATGGCATGCATCTGGGGGCAGTGCAGGTAGTCGTACTCATCCTCGGATATCACCAGCTCCTCCAAACTGTCATAGCACTTCGGCGCCGTCCACGACGCATCAACCGACCTCCTCACGGCCCCGTGACTGTTGAGAATGTGCTCCAGGTCCTCCCGCGCACTGCCTGTGTGGGCTGCCGATAGCCTCGACTGGAAGAGGTCGTAGACAGTGGCCTTGCGGCTGTCTTGTTGGACCAAGGAAGGTTGGTGTGGGGCTTGCAGGGGGGAGTCGTACCCAGGCAGTGCAAAAGGCCCCGTGGAGGCGGGCATGAAGCGTGCAGCCCTGGACACCGATACTTGCACCCACAACGCTGCCAAATGCAATAGCTGCATCTCAGCGCGGCAAATATTTGGGGCCCAGGGATCGGGGCAGAAATCGCGAAGACCGGCTGCCTCGCATGATGAAAGTTCCCTCCTCCGTCGGCTGGCGGGACTCGCTAAGCGTTCGCCGTTCCCGAAATGCATGCAAAGCCCCCAAGCTCGCATGAAACAACGGAACCGAAGGGAGTAGCTTCAAGTTGGCCCCAATGAAATGCATTTCATTCCTCATCATCAAGGTCCATCTGCTGCGCATATAGTTCCGCTGGCGCGAAGGATGACGTCCCTTTCGCTTGCCTGCCTGTCTTTGCCACTCTCCCTGCTCTGTGCACAGCTTTGCCGGTATGCAACTGGCCGCCATCATCCATATCCATATCCCCTTGGTCCCCATCCTGCCACTCTCCCTGCTCAACATCTCCATCTTCCTCATCTTCCTCATCTTCCTCATCTTCTTCATCTTCCTCATCTTCCTCCTCGTCCATGCTCATGGCCCCATCGTCACTCCCGCCGATATCCGGGTAGTCACGCCTCAGCTCAGCCATCAGGAACTCATCTATCTCGGCCTCCTCGGCCTCTTCACCCACATCCACACCCACACCTCCCGCTGCTGTTGCCGCCTGCTCGTCACCGGCCGCAGCTTGGGACCGCCGGAGCTCCTGATCGAGCCACGAGTTGAGGTTCGTCGCAGGGTCTGCCGGCAGCGACTCCATCGCTGCTGGATCCGTGACATGGGCGGCACCCTGGCGGAGCCTGCCGTCGGCCATCGCACTGAAGATGGTCGGCTCCCACATGAAACAACGTGACGCACCAGAGTACTCAGGATCTGACACCGACACCCACACACATGCACACATACACTCCCATCATCTGAACGTCGGGACACGGTCGGTGTTGTTTATGCGTGGCCGTCCGTCCGTCCGTCCGTCCCTACCTCTTTTGAGAGGATCATAGTCTCCCCCACTGGTTGTGCGTAAGTGCTTGTGGCCGGTGTGTTGGGTGTCCACATCGCCGTCCCCCTCCCTGTCATCCACCGTGTCTCGGAGTGCAGCATCGGGCTGCTGCAGCACCTTTTCCACCAAGAGCTGCGGGAGGGCCTTGAGTGTGGTGCTGGCGGTCCGGAGGGCTTGGTAAGCCATCTCGGACCTTTCGTGCATGCCGACTTGCAGCAGGCGCTTGAGGATGGCCACCGACGTGTTGATGGGCACACCATGGTCCGGCTGCAGGCACTCTCGCAGCAGGGTGAATAGAGTCATTGCGTTGGACGAGCGGTAGATGTCCCGGTTCAGCAGCTGCTCATACAGCAGACGGTAGAACCGATGCGAATCCACCCTGCACAGCACAACACACGGTGTGCCACACTCAGACCATTCACATGTACACAGCCAGCGAACCAATCGACGTGACATACACATGTATGTCCACGTACTTGAATGCATTCGTTATCCTGAAGAGGAGGCTCAGCAGCGAAATGCGGAGGGAAGGTGTGGGCGCCACATGACTGAACCAACCAGCCAACCAACACGACAGACAGATAGATGATAAGACACCCGAACACCGCAACTGTGTGCCCATCCGTCCATCCATCCATCCATACCCACCTGACTTTGAAGAGGATGTCGATCTTGGAGGCCAGGGCGCCGCTGAAGGCCTCACTCTCGACGAACGGAAATGCACGGTTCATCCCTGCACCGCACCGCAGGAACCCATCCCATCCACACGCATACACACGTACACACAGGAAACCGGGTCGGTGCTGCGCTGCGTCAGGCATCCCCAGCTCCCTCTTCTGTCTATGTGCTGGTGTGAGTGTGCGCAATCACCCACCCGTGAGGACGGCCTTGAGGAGTCGGCTGTCGGCTTCGCCCACTACCACCACACGCGGGCTGCCTTTGGTCTCTCTCGGCCTCGACGATGATGAATCGGCCATGCCGTCAGCGGCCGTCGACCCGAAGAGCCTCTCGAACACCAATAGATACAGCTTGAACATCTGAACCCATGCATCCATCCATCCATCCACGCAGGCCTCTGATCTGAGAGAGCCACTTCGATGCCTGACTACCTCTCCTGCAAGGTCCTGCTCGCCCCTGAGGGATCAAGAACAAGCAGCAGCCGAAGATGACGGCAGGTGTGGATGCACAGCATGCAGGAGTGACTGACCTTGAGAGCTTCATTTGTGAGAGGAAGACAAGTGCTCTATACTGGGCAGGTGAGCAGGCCGGCGACTGCTGCTGCCGGTGTTGCCGGCCCTTGTTGTGTGTTGTTGGTCGCGTCATGAGGACCACATCCTTGAGTGTGCGGAACACCACTCTGCGCATTTGTGGGTGGGTGTCGAGCAGGTCAGCCAGGTGTCGCGAGGCCTGGACGGCCACCCTCGGGGCAGCGTCGCCGAGTTTGTTGACGAGTGTGGTCAGCAGGGCCTGCTCCTGTTCTGGCTTGGCCACCAGAAGCTCCGACAGGGTCTTGAGGGCACGCACCTTGGCGAACTCGGACGTGTCGTGACTCATGGATACCAATGCCTGCATGTGCACAGACAGACACATGGCATCCAATCAATCAACCAATGACAGATCAATATATGTCAGCAGGGGGAAGAAGAAACACACTCAGCTCTCAGCCAGCCAGTGATGTAGCTATCTAGATGCCTACCTGTAGGAAGTTGGCGAATGCTGTCTTGAGTGCGTCCTCGAACGCCCACATCTTGAGCATGAGTTGGGTGACCCTGACCCCCTCCCGCCGCAGGGTGGCCGCCCTCTCCCGGTGGCCAATGCCGTGCGGCTGCTGGTGGAAAAACAGGAGCTTCCGGTCGGGCAGCAGGGTGTTGATAAAGAGGTCCTTGAGAGCCTCCTGTGCTGCGGTGGCGGCGGTGCGGTTCTTCTTGGCGGCCATGGCCACCAGCTGCCGCAGCTGGTGCAGCTGGAAGACCGGTGCTTGCTGGATCAGCAACGTCAGGGCGCCGATGCGGTCAGCCACCGTCCCCTCATGGGCTATCTTGCGCATCCATTGCTGGTCGCCATCGCCACGCACCATCTCGCGCTCGAACCTCTTCGAGTCGCCCTCAAGCAGCTGCTGGGCCCTTCCCTGCAGCTCCCGCAACAGATCCTCAGCATCCTGGTGCTTTCGCATACGCACTCTCTCGGCCGGGGAAGAGTCCCTCTCGAGCACCTCATACCACGCACCCGAAAAGGTCCGAAGCCACTCAACACCTCCATCCTCACTCATCGCTGTTGAGAAACCAATTAGCCTATAGCCGAGGTTCTTTATCTGCGGGCCGCCACATCGTTTCCTCAACAATCGCCAAGATTGGCGGGTGGGTGGGTTTGGGGTCACGGGTTTGCAAACCCGCCAGACGGCGCTCATTGCAACGCAGGTTCACTCACAGCCAGCAACTCACTCACTCACGAGTGGATGCGTGACCCTGCCTTGATGAATGCATTCATACACCACACCACACCACACCCTGTCTGGCAGCATGTTAGTATGTCATTCATCATCTCTCCGAGTCACACTGACATCCAGATCTCCCCTGAAGCTAATGGTGTTCCCCTGCGGACTGCCTAATTCGCCGCCCATGTGCCGAATCGCCACTCGACCCTCCCGCAGCTGGGCTATAACGTGCTCGATCCCGGCACCCCCACCAGCCCTACCCCTCTCCCACCCCACTCCACCACCGCCCCCCTCCCCCGCCCTGGCACCGCCCACCGTGGGGCTCCAGCTGCGCGGAGGCGACAATACCGTTGGCTTGGCGGCCGCAGACGGCACAGACGGCTTGGCCCTCGACGGCACAGACACGCCAACCTTGGCTCCAGAAGTCCCCACACCCTTGGCACTCTTCTGTCTGGCGCTAAGTGCCGATGCAGGCCTCTTGGGCGGTGCTGCTGGCGGGGCGCGTTTGGCGGTCAGTGATCGGCTGGAGTACCCCCTTGCCGTGGCTGGCACCACCCTCGTGCGATGGCTGGCAGACGGGGGAGCGGTGCGACTCGCCATCAGACGAGGAATGTGAATGGTCTGCAGTGCATACACACACACACACACACATACATACATGAACCAAGCAACTAACCAGCCCGTGTACATTCACACACACTTGCACCGCATGGAATGTCGGTCAGCCTGTCCTGCATCGCATCGGATGTGTGTGGCGTGCCTGTGTGACCTACCTTCGGTAGTCGTGCTCCCGAGGTCTGCTGCTTGGCTGCCGCCTCTTTGAGAGTTGGGTGTGAGGGTAGGCGACTCTGAGTGAGTGTGCCGCGGGTGGCGGCCAGGGCCCTCTTGGGCGAAGCCTCGTCTCGTGTCGGAGGGACCGCAGCCACAGGGGGGCCGGCGGGCCCAGATGATAGCTCTGCATCCACACATGACGCATAGATGAAAGAAACAAATACATCCGACGTCGATGGATGCATGGATGGACATGGACAGCCACCAGCCTGGCCAGCTGGGCAGACAGACAGAGAGACCTAATGCAGAGATGCGCACGTGAAGGCTCTCCAGCTGCATTGATTGCATTCATCGATGGACGCACACACACACACACAAACGTACATGACGTGCAGGGAGGCATATAATAGATACAAGACGGGCGGGCCGCTGCATCGCCCCAGTCATTCATTTACTTGCTTAGCTGTAGCCTGAAACGTCGCAAAGGCGTCTGTGTCAGGCAGGGGCAGCAACGCAGCACAATGGATGGATGGATGGATGTGCCCAGAGAGAACCACATTGCCTGCCTGCCCTGAGTGTGTGCGTACCGTCAGTGAGTCTGTTGCAAGTCTGTTCTGTGGCGGCCAGCTGCACCGCCAGCCTCTCCTCGAAGCGCGACAGCCGCGAGTTGAACGCCTCCTGCTGCTGCGCCAACCTATCCACCTGCACGCACGGACGGACGGACGGACGGACGGACACACACGTGTGGTAGGTCTTTCTCAACAGATCAGCGCTGTATGTTAGTAACCAACTTATTTGGGCAAATACATACCTCAGCCTGCAGCCGCCGCACCTGAACACGCACCCCCCCACACGTGATCCCCATCCATCCCATCCACATGGCGAACCTCTTGTCGGTGCCCCGCGCCATCTGTCCGTCCGTCCATCCATCCACCCAGCCATTCGTACCTGTTGGTCCCAGGGCAGCCCCTGCCCACCGCCTCCCACACTCTCACGCTCCGCGGGCAGCCGGTCACCGTTGGGCGGCACAGAGGCACTGCGCGTTTGAGCCATGTCCACACTGGCGGGCTGCAACACACAGACACAATCCGTATATGTATGCTGGCGGATGGATGAGTGGAAGGAGATTTTGGTGTGTGCTGTGCATCCATACCATGAGGTTGACGAGCTCTCCCCTTGCGAGTCTGTCCCTCTCGAGCTGCAAGATGCGGGCCTCAAGCTGCACCACCTTCTCGTCCATCATTACGTATCAGTACACCCTTCTACTCCTCAGACCCCTGCAGTATCGTCCAGCGAGCGCTCCTGACGAGACGCTGTTTCGTGAGTCAGGGCGCGCGCGAAATCATTCCTCAAGTGAAATCGGCGCATTGTAAACCACACGCCGATCAACGAGTGTTGTTTCGGGACGCATATATCATCTTCATCTCATGTCTGCCTGTCGTTGGTGGTCCTAAATGTGTCTGTCTGACCTCGCTGGTGGGTGGAGTGATTTGTCCTGTCCATCCACTCCATGAACGCCCCCATCGGCGCACCGCACCACTCTATCCCTCCCCCCAAAAGGCACTCCCGTCTGTCCATCCATCTCGCTATCTGCCCATTCGCAACGCACGTGGCTCATCCATCGCTCGGGGAAACGGCAGGCAGATAGCAAAAGCAGCGTCAAAAACTTCTCGCGGACATCGCATCGCATCGCATGAATGAATGAAAGCACAAGACCCGCCTCAGTCATACCCACACCAGTCGGCGCTCAGCCGATCTGACCCTTGGCCCACTCGATGGTCTGCTGCAGGATGGGCTTGTTGGGCTCAATGAAGGCCTGCAGCATCATGCCCAGGGTGCCGATCATCTGTTCATATACATACCAGCACGAGCACACGTCACGCCGACAGACAGACAGACAGACAGACAGAGAAACGAGGTAGGTGAGCTCCTTGATTGTGGCTGTCTGTCTGTGCAGTGCTGTGAGTGTGGTGGCATTCATACCGCCAGCCTGGCGTGTTTGATTTCAGCCAGTGCCCAGTCCTCCCTGATGCCGTTGTCCGCGAGCCCCAGTGGGTCCCACCCCAGGTCACCCGGCACACGCGAAACTGCATCAGGTCTCTCCTCGATGCGCTCCTCGCCAAGGCGGCCGAGCTCCGCAAAGGCGCCACCGGCGAGGAACCGAGTGTTGCCTGTCTGCACCAGGGCCCGCTCCCTGAGCGTCAGGTCCGCCAGCTTGATCTTGGTCGTCGGGTTGTACAAATACTTGGCAGTCGTCAACTGATTAAGCAAGGGAGGGATGAAGGGAGGGATCCATTAAGACAGTCACACAGCAGACAGACAGACAGACATGGCACGCGCGGCAAGGCAAGGGACAGACACCACAGAAACAGGAACCAAGAGATACATGCATGCTAACCACCATTGGGCGTCCGTCTGCAGGTGGGGCCTGTCTGTCTGTCTGTCTGTCTGTGCGTCCCTCCCCGTCTGTCTGCGTAGATAGGTAGGTACCTACCTCGATGAGTGCGATAGCGATGATGATCTGGGCGATGCCAGCAGGCGGGAGTGCGGTGAGTGCCTTGTATGGGCTCAGCTCCGAGAAAGCCGGCACGAAGTCGATGCCCTTGAAGCCCTCCGGCCGCTGCACCAGCTCCGGCGCCAACAGGCCCACGGACGCCAACATGCACACACGACCATGCTTCAACTCAGCATTACGCAACCTAGGAAGGTGGTCACACACATGAATCAATCGACCAGCCAACATAGTTAGTATGTATGTATGTGGCAGGCACAATTATGTATCCATGGACCTGTCCATCCACCGTTCGGTCCATGCCTGTCTGCCTGCCTGCCTGCATTGCCCTCGTCTGTGTGGTGGCCCTGCCCTTGCCAGGCCAGCGTGTGTACCGTACCACTGGATGTTGACGAGTTTCGAGAGCCCGAAGGGATCGAAGCCTGCAGACATCCGTCCCATCGATCAACACAACCACAGGCGAAACACCGATCTGGTCGCATCGCATCGCATTGCATGTGGCTGGCTGACTGACCGAAGTCGCCGACAAGGTTGCCGTCGCCGATGGTTGGGCGGGAGACCCACGGGAGGGCGGGGGAGATGTTGGGGTCGTCACGCACATACCACTGGCCCAGGGGACCCACACCAGGCTCAGGCTGACGCGTATAGTCCGCTGAATCACACATGTGACACACACACAGAAGAGAGATAGATGTTCACGTGGTGTTGATTCTGAGCGAGTGGCTCGCTGGTTGGTCCTTTCCTTACGGAAGTCGACGCCCCGCACAGGCGCCTTCTTCACGGCCTTCTTCTGACCCTTGGCCCTCGCCTGACGATACCAGGGAACAGCAAGAGGATCCACAAAGGGCGAGTGCGTGTGTGCGGCATTGTCATCTTTGGTCACTCACCTGCATGGTGAGCTGGAAGGCGCTCTTGTCCATGGCTGCACCACACACGCCACCAGAGGATGGAGAGATCAGCAAGTGAGGGAGACGGCGTGCACTTGCGTACCTTGGCAGGCCACGAGCAGGCCCACGAACACGACGATGGCCCTCATCATCATTGCCCTCCGAACCACAGCTTTCCCACTTCACCAAGCCAGTCGCCGTAAACTCGCTTCGTTTCACGGCTGATATCTGGGGTAGAGCGTCTCTTCTGTAAAACTGGGAAATCACAAGCTCATGGAGAAGAAGTACCGTGTTGGAGTGCTTGGAGGTGAGAAAACATGGCTCCAGACCGGCTGTCTTGCATTGCTTGCACAGCGGTGTGTGTGATGTGGGTGCAGCGACGGGTGCGGTGGGTCAGCGTTTCCTGGAGCTGCTCAAAAACCACCCATGGTTCATCGTCACTGCCCTGGGCGCCTCCGAGCGGTCGGCCGGCAAGAAATATGGCGACGTCGTCAACTGGAAGGTGTCTGCCGCCGTGCCCGAGGAGGCAGCATCACTGCTGGTGATGGAGTGCAGGGCAGATCTGTTCATCGGACTCGTGTATGTCACACACACACGCAGACAGACAGACAGACAGACAGACAGACAAACAACCAGATAGACAGTCATGCGTGGAGCGACGCATTCATCACAGTACATGGCTGAGAAATGTGTTCTTGACTGGCTGTGGTGTGCCCGCAGTGACATTGTGTTTTCGGGTCTCGACTCAAGCGTTGCAGGTCAGTGAGCTGGCAAACTGAGGACACCCATAATGACCCTACCAGCCAGTCAGCTGGCCTGCGCGTGTTTGGTGTCATTTCATGGTTCATTTGAACAGGTTCTGTCGAGGCAGACTTCGCCTCTCGGGGCATTCCCGTGTTCAGCAATGCCAAAAACCACCGGATGGACGCCGATGTGCCCATACTCATACCCGTGGTCAGCCAGCCACTTGATGTGTGATGCATCTATTTATGTGCCTGTGTGTGTGAATGTGTGTTAGATCAATGCGGATCATTTGAGTATCGTGAGGTCTCAGCCGACCTTCAAAGACAAGGGAGGCTTCATCGTCACCAATGCCAACTGCGCATCCACCGGACTCTCTATCGCACTCAAGGTGAATGTCACCTACACCGCACCGAGGGCGTTTGTGCCACCCACGCCCACGCACTCGCCCACTCGCCCCCACACGTCTGTCTGTCTGTGTTGGTTGATATGTCAGCCGATTCACGAGAGGTTCGGCATCCATGAGGTGTTCATGGCAACGTGCCAGGCCATTTCGGGTGCGGGGTACCCTGGCCTGCCCTCGATGGACATCCTCGACAACTGCATACCCTTCATCAGCGGCGAAGAGCCAAAACTCGAGGAGGAACCTGCCAAAATACTCGGTCAGCCAGACAGACAGCCAAAGACAAAAAAGCCAGGGGGACATACAGAAACCCTACATATGGATGGTGTGTGGTGTGTGCAGGCAAGCCGTCGAGTGATGGGAGCTGCATCGACTTCGCCCCCATAGCGGCGACAGCCATGTGCCATCGAGTGGCCGTGTCAGACGGACACATAGTCTCGGTCGGTAATCCATTCAAGCTAGCGAGTTACACACACCAAGCCAACTAGCAAGGAGAGTGCTTTCTGGTGTGGTGTGGTGTGGTGTGGTGTGGTGTATCGGCCGACCAGGTATCTCTTCGGCTACGTGAGCGGCCCGAGTCTGATGACGAGATGGTGCGGCAGGTCAGGGAGTGCCTCGCTAACTACAAACCCACACAGATCGTGCAACAACTGCCATCGTAAGGACGGACGGGTCAGCTACCCCACACTAGGCACACCCGCACTGCGGGGGTGGGTCTATCTCTGTGTGGTGTGCTGCCTGTGTGTGTATCAGCTGTCCGCCTCACTGTGTGGTGGTGATGGCCCAGGATGACCGCCCGCAACCCAGGCTCGACAGAATGGCTGGTGAGACAGACAGACAGACACAGCACAATCAGGTGGCCTGGTTTCACATCTTGTGTGTTGTCTTGTGTTGTGTTGCGTGCAGGTGAGGGCATGTCGACGTGTGTGGGCCGCGTGCGTCCCTGTCCGCTGATGGACGTCAAAATGACCACACTCTCACACAACACGATCATCGGTCAGACACGCAGATCAGATACAGAGAGACGGAGGGAGCCTCTTTCCATGGTATTTCAATGCACTGTGTGTGTACGCCATGCGTGTGTGTGTGTGCAGGTGCCGCGGGTGGGTCTCTACTCAACGCGGAGTTGGCTGTCATGGAGGGCCTCATACGGCACAATGCATGAACAGAACAGCTGCTGCCTGGCTGCCTGGTCGGTCGATGGATTGTGCCGTACGATCGATTTCTGAGCGCGCATCACTTTAACTCACTCGACGGCTTTTTGGTGCAATGCAATTTGACTGACGGAGAGCCAGCCAGCCAGCCGGGCCAAGAACGGATTCATTCGCGATGCACGCTCATTAGTGAGTGTTAGGTATCTGTCGGTCGGGTGCAGTGCATGGATGACTGGCTGGCTGGCAGCATAGACCGATAATAGGGTACTTGGTTGTGCATACACACATATGTGGATGGACACCAACTCTGTCTGTCTGCCGTCACGCCCTATGTACTCGGACAACAGACGAAAAAAGCATGGCCTAACTCACTCCGCAGGTAGCGGCCCCACTCCCACCCAACCCAAACAGCCTCCCTCCCTCCCTCCCTCCCTCAAAACGCATCCATATACGCATGCCATGCACTATATCGTCGCCCCGGCCCCCACCCATCCCATCAGATGACGCCAGGTATTAAGACATAGGGCACGTGCTGTTTGTAGCGCTGCCAGTCAGCCCCGTACTTGGCCGAACACGCCCACTCGTCACGCAATGCCCTAGTGGACAACACAACACAACCAGACAGGACAGGACAGGAAGTGAGAGAGACTGGGCTGGGCATCCTACATGTTGGGACGTACCTGTGCAATAGCAGGAATAGGAAGTAGCCGGCATAGTAGTAGGCTATGGGAGTCCAGCCGCCGCACAGCAGACACCAGGCCAGCCCCATGAGCCAGTCGCCCGTGTAGTTGATCTTACGCGCACGGCCCCACCAACCTGACGTCAACAAACGACGACCTACACTCATACACACAGCAGACAGACAGACAGACATACGTCCAGGATTCGGCTGCCGGGTTCCTTGTTCAACGTTTACCTGTTTTGGTTTCGATGTATTTGAGGTGTCGCACGCTGGGGGCGTTTGGGTCCCTCCTGAAGGCATCCTTCTGGCTGTTGGACGACCGGAAGATCCAGTAACCTGCGAACCAGTGTGTGTGTGTATGTAATCTGTCCCTCTCTATCTAGCTATATCAGTCGTTCTATGTTGGCTGCGCTGCAGTGCAGCTACCGAATAGGTTGAGTGCGGCGATAGCGGCCAGTGCGGCATGCGGCAGGTTGGGTGGGCGTATGAGGATGATCCTGGCCTGCAGCGAGTAGGTGAAGGGCACCCAACACAGATCACCAAACACCAACATGAACCCAAACCCGTCTGCACACACACATCCATCCATCCATCCATGTGTCGGCAAACAATGATTGATGGATGGATGTTACAGAAAGACAAACCATCTCTGTCTATTTATCTCTTTCCCACCCACCAGTGGTGATGTCCATAGTGCTGAGGACGGCTGGTTCTTGTTTGAGTGCATCCCACACGTAGAGGCCCTGGAAGACTATCAGCAGCACCAGCTCAGGCGACACGCCCCCCAGCCCAAACTCCTCCATCTGCTTGAGGGCCGCTCCCAGCAAGAGGACCACCCAGCCTATCAGACCAGGCCGCAGCTCACAAAAGAACTTCCAGTCGAGCCCATAGGTTCGGGGGTTGAGCTCCCGGCCCATGAAGAAGTCCGTGAGTGGGTGGCCGGTGTTGCCTGGCTCAGACAGCAGGGGCGGGGGAGAACCAGACCGGAAGGATGCCAGGAAGAGCACAACCGACATGAGCAAGCACAGGGCGATCGATGACACTATCAGGGGGAGGTACAGGTCGTGCAGAGCTGACAGAGGGAACGGCCCCAAAGACCACTGCCCCTCACCCTTGTACGTGCGTTGCGGATACGCAATTAGCAAGGCCACAAGGACGGCCCAAAAGGTGAGATGGCCGTTGATGCGGTACGTGAGCCGCCCCCTTCCACCAGGGAGTTCCATCCCGTCCACAATTCGTGCTGGCAACACCCTTTCCAGTACCATCAGCACCAGCATCCACACTAACAGAATCGCCATGCTCCTTGTCAGCCTCTCAATAGATAGCAAGCCACCTGAGGCCACCAGCTGTGTGCCGATTGCCTTTGGCAGGTGGGAAAGGTCCTCCCACAGAGATTCTGTCCTAACGCAGAAGGACTCATTACACGAGAGGTACAGGAGCACCACGAAGGAGGGCAGGAAGACCAGTAGCACTGCCGCGCCGACAGGACCGCCGAACTCAGCTCTGTTGTGCAAGGCGGCCGCCTTCTTTCGAGCGTCGTCCTTGGTATCGCCGGTCGATGCATCAGCGGCGGATCTGCGCTGCCGAAGATCGCTTGAGGAAGGAACCGATGAAGATGAGCTCTTCTCCATTGGCTCCCTGCGGTGCACCTGCTCGTCTAAGCTCGCAGCTGAAATAAAGCGACAGAATAACGGCAGCCAAGGGGAGGAGGGGGAGAGAGTGGAGAGGTGAGGTGAGACCATGGCAGGCGCCTGCAGTGGGCCCTTTGGCCTTGTGGCACTGCTGCTGTGTTCACAAGTGTGGGGTGCGCCGAAGAAGGTGCTGGAAGACCTGGCGGGCAATGACCTCCACATACACCTGGATTCGAAGATGGACTTCGGCCCCTTTGCCTATCACAGCCCCCGTAACAACTCCTTCTTCGTGCAGGTCCCACACACAGCCTTAGACATCCTCCCGATGTGACAACCGGACCGGGGCTTTCCCCGTTCTGTGTCTGCAGGTGTGCACCTCTCTGGCCTTCCGGCTGCCGGGTGGCTCCGGCGATGTGGACACTGCGAGTGTGGAAGGACGCGTCAAGCTGCAAGGCAGCAAGGGGGGCGATTACAAGGCTAGAGCCACAGTGGCGGACGACGGCCTCACCGTTATTGTTGTGCCAGAGCGACTGTTCAAGACAGGCGAGCAAATCACCGTCACCATTGATGAGGGCGTTGCGACCACAAAGGGAGAGACTTTTGCTTTGCACACGTGGAGTTTTCTGACTAGTCCCGAGGGTGCCTATTGCCGGCCGAAGGTCAAGGCCAGCCAGAGCAGTCTACGCAAGGCGCAGGAGGACATCCAGCCGCCCGTCGTCTTCACCGACGAGCACTTCCTGTGTGAGTGAGCCATTCACGTCACGGCATCGACAAGACACATGCGCACCGCACAGTGTGTTCATCCTTTGCCGTTCTCTCCTCTCTCCTTCAGATTTCAACTACCATGCACCTTCTGCGGTAGGTCACTGACCAAATGTGCGAGCAGCCGCCAGACCCACACACACAATTAGAGACACGGGATCCCCGTGTGCGTGTGCAGGAGGAGAAGGCAGCGGAGCGGCGTGTGTGGGGTACAGGCCAGAGTCCGCGGGGCGCCAAGCGGCATGACGACTCGGAGTATGAGGTCGTCCACATGCCGCCCAATGACTACATAACCCTACCCAGAGGCTTCCCAGAGGTGGGACCGGTTGACCCATGAGTGACTCATTCATATCACTGTTGGCATATATCCCATCCCCCCTGCTTGCAATGCAATGCACCCAGTACACCATCCGCATGCCCAAGAATGAGACCCTCAGACAGCAAATCAGCCCGGGCTACATCTTCGCCTCCGGATATAGCATGATACTCGACTCACAAGGCGAACCCTTCTGGTTCGGGGGATCCTTTGGCGGCGGGCACATCGAGTACAGACCACACAGCGGGAAACGGCTGGTGCACGCCAAGCATGACGGCAAGTCGACGGAGCGCAGCTTTGAGTGGGTGGAGTTGGACGAGCACTACCGTCAGAAGAAACTGCACTTCATGGGCAACGGGTGAGAGAGAGTGGGGGGGGGGGG